TTATTATTATTATTATTATTATTATTATTATTATTATTATTATTATTATTATTGTAATTCGACATCCATTTTGACAAGACACGACACAGCCAGATAAGTAGATCTCTAGACGCACAACGTAAAACTACACAGGCCTCGTCTCTTCAAAATCACACACTCTACTGACACAGTAAAGCCTAGATATCTAGATCTAAGAAGAAAAAAAATTAATTACACCACAACACAGCTGGTATTGATGAAGCATAATTTTTTGAGGAAAAAACACTAATTTTCTTAAATATTGCTTAAAATGTAATTCTGCTCGGTGACCACCCTATTTTGACGATGCTGATTTCAAAAATGTAATTAGTTTTTGTCTACCGTGAAGCACCAGCTCTGAAATGACCATTTAAAATTGTCCCCAGTCCAGTCGAGTGACGTCACATAAACCGCTGAACCCGAGTTGGCGACGGCGAGACAGCGAGACGGCATTGAGAATTCGCGACCTCGGTGCTTTCTTGTCGTACATCTATTTTTAATAACAGTGAAAACAGTTCATAACAAAGAGTGAGTTAAAGAAGAAGTCTCATTTTCACTGTTTAAAAAATGGAAATACGACAAGAAAGCACTGCGGTCGCGAGTTGACAGCGAGACGCCCTTCCCACTTTTTCGGCGTAATAAGAATGTAGTTTGGATTCCGATAAAGCCGACAACTCCGATCCGAGTTTAAAGCCGCCTGCAGTCGGCCAGCTCTATGTGGGGCAAGTTAGAAATCATAAGGGAATTTTTATACCTATCGGCGCTTACTGAGTCAGTCTCCGAAATCGGCGTTCTCTATGTTTTCGCCCTATGGCTTCCAGATTTTAGTCAAGCTCGACACCACAGTGGCCCCATTGTTAAATATATTATTATTATTATTATTATTATTATTATTATTATTATTACTACTCGTATGTGACCGGTCATGTCGACCCTTTGGGGCCTTGCGGGAAGGATTTTTATTTTTTTTAAATGGTGCTGTTGTCACGAGTGACACTTTGGGGACGGAAGGGATTAGGCGGGCTCTCATCACACTCGGGCTCGAAATGTGACGGAGCGTACCTGCATGATGCTCAGTTTTGTTTACACGTAGCTCGAAAGAGAAATAAGGGGGACAGGGAAAGTTGGAGAGGGTGGGGGATCTTTGTTTCTCTGTCTCCTCCTACCCACTCACCCATCCCCCTGTCTCTATCTATCTATCTATCTATCTATCTATCTATCTATCTATCTATCTATCTATCTATCTATCTATCTATCTATTTTCTTCCTTTCTCTCTCTTTCTCCCCCCCCCCCCCCTCTGTCTCTCTCTGTTTGCGTGTGTGTGTGTGTGTGTGTGTGTGTGTGTGTGTGTGTGTGGTGTGCGAATGAAAGGAGAAGTGCGCACGAATACCAGAAATACCCAAAATGGTAGTTTATTCGTGAAAGTGAAAGCTAAAAGTGCAAGCGTGTGACTAATGATTGATGCGTCGTGGTCGAGTTTTGCCTCTTTGGACAGCTCAAGTGGTTTGTGTTCACACCCTCTCTCGACAATTTGGGATAAGTCTCCCCCCCCCCCTCCTTTCCCCCCACACACACTCATACTCACACGCGCGCACTCACTCACTCACTCTCTCTCTCTCTCTCTCTCTCTCTCTCACACACACACACACACACACACACACACACACACACACACACACACATCCTTACACCCTGTCTGTCTGTCTGTCTGTCTGTCTGTCCGTCTGTCTGTCTGATCGTCTCCCCCCCCCCCTCTCTCTTTCTCTCTCTCTCTCTCTCTCTCTCTCTCTCTCTCTCTTTCTTTCTCTCTCATTTTCTCTCTTTTTATTTTTCTTCTCTCTCTCTTCTCTCTCTCTCTCTCACTCTCTCTCACTCTCTTTTTCTCTCTCTTCTCACACACACGCACATACACACACACACACACACACACATACACACACACACACACACACACACACACACACACACACACACACACACACAGCGCTCACGCGCACTTGTTCCCCTTCTCCACCTTTTCTCATCTTTGTGCTCTATCATAATTATCCTTTTTTGTATACTCTCCCTTTATGGTTTTTGGTTTGTCAGCAAAAGGAAATACGTTTTAGGTGGGTCCTCGACATAAGATCTCATTTCCGATTTTTGTGTACTTTTTGTGGTTCTATGTCGTTGAGAACAGAAGTCCATAATTTATGAGCGTGCGCCTCTGAAGATTTTACAAGTGGGTGGTTAGCGGGTGCTCTGGTATGGTGTGGTTTACTCCTTCTTTCCTATCAAACATCTGCTGTCGTTATAATTTCTCCTCCTTTTTTTGTGTTTGTTACCCTCTTGTAACACCTCTAATCATCGGCCCTTATATGACCTCATTGGGTTGCAAATGCCGTAAAACTCTAACTTGAACATAAAACGAAGACTTTTTGAACGAATAATATTTTATGTTACTTCCTCGTTCGTGTGTGAATAATGAACTTATGCTCGTTTTTTGTGAACGTACATGTATTATATTATGCGTATTTGCGCGTGTATTTGTGCATATCTATGTTTGTAAGGAACCCCCTCCCTTCCACAACCTTTTGCTTATCTTCTTTTCATTCTGTTTGTCCCCCCCCCACCTTTCCCTCTGTCTGTCTGTCTGTCTGTCTGTCTGTCTGTCTGTCTGTCTGTCTGTCTGTCTGTCTGTCTGTCTGGTGGTCTCTTCCACCCTCTCTCTCTCTCTCTCTCTCTCTCTCTCTCTCTCTCTCTCTCTCTCTCTCTCTCTCTCTTTTCTCTCTCTCTCTCATTCTTTCTATATCACCCTGCCCCCCTTGCCACACACACAAACACACTCACAAACACACACACACACACACACACACACACACACACACACACACTCACACACACACACATACACACACTCACGCAGCATCAACATATATCATACATACATACTATGGATTCCAACGTATACACCCACTCTTTTTCTTTCTCTCGCACGCTCTTGTATTTTTGGGCGTGTCTGTCTGTCCATCCGTCTGTCTGTGCGCATGTGTATATTTTTTGTTAGTTTGTGTGTGTGTGTGTGTGTGTGTGTGTCTGTGTGTGTGTGTGTGTGTGCGCGTGCGCGTGCACGCATACCTGCTTGTTTGTGTGTGTGTGTGTGTGTGTGTGTGTGTGTGTGTGTGTGTGTGAGAGAGAGAGAGAGAGAGAGAGAGAGAGTGAGAGAGAGTGAATGAAAGAGTGTGTTTTCTACACTCTTCTGCACACAACTTTTTCACATCGCCCATGAGTATACAGTAGTAAAACCCAACAGTGTTACATGATTGTAATCAGATAAAGAAAAAAAATTAAGGGAGGCTGTTGGTTTTGTTTTTTTAACTTTTTGATCTCTTGTATTTTTAGCGTGAGGGGCAAAATGTGTTACACTCTAGGCTAGGCTACGTGGATGAAAAACATGAATGAGTCATGAACCTTGGGGGAGGCCCTGGCTGGGCCCAGCCTGCTGCTGCAAAACTATTTACCGGCACACAGACACACACACGGCGGACTTTACCTTCGCAACCCCACACACAAACACGCATACACACAGACGTACTGACACACACACCCTCCCGTTCTGTGTCGTGCGTGCACACAGCCAGCAGCCGACAAGCCAGCCACTCCCGCAAGCAAGCTTCTTTTCGATTGGGGGAACGTAGTATTTATTTTGGTTCAGCAGAGGGGCTAGATCTAGGAGCTAGGAGTAGAGAGTAAGTAAGTACGTACGTTAGGCCTTCCTCCCCGTCGCGGGCCGTTTCTGCTCTTCTCTCGTCTTTCCTCTCTGCTCTCTACTCTCTACACTTTAGAGACCGGTCTATAGGCTACACACACATCATCATCATCATCATCATCCAGAGCGGTTTACATACCGAGCTTTCCCCTTTCCGTCTACACTCGTGTGCAGTAGATTTAGAGGTAGGTAGGTGTGGGCGCCGCGATTCATCTCTGCTGCATGCTGCACTTTCTAGTCTCTCACTATCATCAGTCGGGGTTGTGAGGTCGTTGAAGGTACATGTACTTTGTTGTGTTTCAGGCTTAGCTTCTTTTTCTTACGCGTGACGCAAAACTGTGGGCGGGGGATGTGTCACGTCACTTTAACAGATTCTGTCAGTGTCTTCTTAGTCATCGGTACTCTTATCAAGTAAATTTCGACATCCGCGTAATCTTGTTCATCATCATACCGTGTAAAATACAACCCACACCTTTCCAGTATTTATACATGATATAAGTTTTGTGCGAGTGCTTGTTTCTTTATTAGCATCCAAGTTGCAGCTCGGCTAAAATCAGCAGTTTTTTGTTCTTTTCTCTTTTCAGAAATTCCCTTGTGAAGTTCATCGCAGTCATTTGGAATAATGTCTGGTGAGTTTATTTGTTTTTGTTTTTGGGTGTTTGTTGTGGGTTTTTTGTTTTTAAATTGTTTTTTTACATTTTTTTTAGGGGTGTCTTCCTTTATAACTCGTCACTGGCCTGTATGTTAGGAATAGGACAACCTCTTTTCAGCCTACGTTTCTGACTCCAGCTACGATGTGTTTGAATTACCATGGCCTTCTTCATGGAGATTGGACTTGACGTTCAATCTTTGGCCTCCTATTTTAGGTTACTATCATCAGCCGGCGGGATTGAGATACACCCGTTGTACTTGGTCGCGCTAAACAAAACAAAAAAGATCCAAAATGCCAACATTCTCTCGGATATTAGCAGAACGACAGAAAGACAAAGAAAGAGCTCCTGGAATCTCGTGGGAGAAAAAAAAAAAGGGAAAATGAGCTCTTTTGAACATGTCATTAGACATCTCAGTTTTCAGATATAAAAAAGAAAGGCCGTTGCGCAGGTCAGAGAGAAGATAGAGAGCAGAGGAGTTCCTGCGAAAGCATAAGAAAATGCCGACTTCATCTCTGAGTGGACCCAATGAATAAAGAGCGTTTCGTTAGCTCAGTTGGTATCATGCAAGACTACGGAGTAG